TAGTTTTGATTAAAATAAATATCCTAGTACATAATTGCATATCTCTATATAGTGATCCACATGTGATATATTTATAAAAATTCATTTTTCAGGTTGTCGTCGATGATGCACATGATAGACCGTACAAGTTTGAAGAGGTCTTTGAAGAAAGCTGTACACAAGAAATAGTTTTTAGGAAGGCAGTGGCACCTCTTGTAACCAAAGTAAAGGAGGGTCACAATGCTACTATTTTTGCATATGGTCAAACAGGATCAGGAAAGACCTTCACAATGGGTACAAACCCATGTAGTGCAAAGGTTAATTTTATTTGTAATTTGTTGTCCTGTTTACCATGTCACATTTGTGACCCATTTGTGGGTCACAAAACTGTTTACCTTGTGTAATACAGTTTGCATAAGATATCCTCAGCAAGGCACAACCTGCAGTCCTCCGTGTCCTGTTTAAATTAAAATCAAACTACAGTGGACCCATGATTTAATAAACTAATAGGAGAGACTGAGTGTCCATCAAAACTGATTGTCTGTTAAACAGGAATACAATAATGAAACTGATTTTCCGCAATTGTAGCAATAAGGGACATTATGAATTTAACTGACTTTGTCCGTTAAATCTGAAAATTCATTTACACAGTGGACTGCAACAATAACAGACAATTCTGGGTTTAATGGACTGTTAAATTCAAATTCAGTTTACCCAACTGACTAACAATAATAGACAATCTTGATTTTAGCAGACTTCATCCATTGTTTCTGTATTTTGCCTGTTCAATTCAGAATTTCTTAAATAGGGTCCATTAAATCAAGATTTTACTGTACCACTGACACTGAATACCTTCCATTGACTTGAAAGTACCCATAAGCTGTATACTGTACTGCATAGCTTATTTTTTGGGTAATGTTTAACCCCTTCAGGGTCCAAGGCCCAAATCTGAAGTGGTGCACCAGTGTCCAAGAATTTTCAAAAAAAAAAAATTGTTATTTTTTCTTGTGAAATGGTAGAGAATCTTTTTGTGAAGGTAATAAAACAAAAAGTACGAAATTTGATGGAAAATTGACGAAATTATGCTCGCGAATTTTGATGTGTCAGCGATATTTACGAATCGGTAATTTTGCCGACTTTGACTCCCATTTTAGGCCAATTACATTATTCCAGTCAACCAAATTCTTAGCTATTTCACTAGTATTACTTCTATTCTATCGATTGAGCACAAGAAATCACCAAGTCAACTGTTTCAACTACAAATTAAAGTGATCAGAAATTGTTAATTTGGCCAATTTTACACAAAGTTCAAAATATTCCAATTTCAAAATAGGGTCCAGAATAAACAATGTAGGTATTCCTGGAACTAAACTAACATTTCCTCTGTTCATTAGTTACGTTTTGAGGCTTTACAAATAAATTCCATTTTGATTTTTTATTCACAATGAATTTTTATTCACACCAAAAAATAGAAGATTTACTGTTATGCAATACTGTAATAATTGTATAAATATTATCACCATATTTGTGAATGCATATTAGACCCACCAGCTGGGGTGTATTAGACGTGTGAGGTCGTTTGTTTACTCTTGAATATCGGCGAAAATTTAACATTTCTGCTACTTTGAGCTCAGTTTCAAGCCATTTCCAGTGCTAAAACCAATCAAAATCATCTTTATTTCTGTAATATGTCTTCCATTCTATCAAATGAGACTAAGAAATCGCAAATACAACTATAAAAAAACATACAAAAAACACTGCAAAGTCGCTGTTTTAATCGAAAAATCATGATTTCAGTTTTTTCTCTCATTATATACAGCGTGCTGCAGGATCTGTTTTATGTGGTGCACACATACCACATAGATGTATTCTCTCATATCTAGGCCCAAATGTACCACTCACAGTTTATCAGAGTGAGCTGAGCTCATGACGTAGATCTACGGTTTGGACCCTGAACGTAAAGCCGTAGATCTACAGGACGGACCCTCAAAGGGTTAATGACTAAAGAGGTTGTACATCCTTGCATTAAACCAAGGGTTGGTGCCCACTTTTTACAAATATTTACCTATTCTCATGTAATGATTAGTGTACCTGAAGTACACATCATGTACTGGAAAAACTTTAGTGATAAATGTGAAAGATAGGATAGGTTAAGAATAGATCTGTGAGAGGAATTTTTTGAAGGTGAGGGAGAGTGCCAGGACCTAACCTAGCTGCTGGGTGTTTTGAAGCACATAAAATGTCAGGTTCTACAGCATGTCATGGGCTCAACATGGGCAGGCAGTAATGTATAGAGGGGCATGGTGCCAATTGCTTGTAAATGGGCTGCGCTCAGGATTTCTGGGCATAAGCTGAGCTCTGACTTCCATTAGCAAACATGTACAGCTTTTTCAGGGTCCAGAAATGTTCCTATATATCAAGCTATTGTATGTGAAATTTATTAGTCATCAGCACAGACTGACTGATAAAAAAAAATTTAGTCCTGTATTAGTAATTTTCACTTATCTCCCTAGCACCCATATTCAGACCACCATTTCTACATGCAAAACTTACTTTTGGTTAATTTTTTCTGTGAAACATGTTTGTCTAGTCAATCCATGTTTCAATAAAGTTTCTGCAGTTGTCTTTTTTGCCACTTATTGGCTTTGTTGTTTGAATCTACCTAATTTTTTCCACTTTTGTAAATGGGTGAAGTGTAAATAGTCTTTTACCTTGATATGTGTAATCAGCCATAATATATGTAATAAACAGTTTTATGGCAACAATGGGAATGATGTACTGTGACAGTCAGAGCTTTAATAATAATAATAATAATAAAAAAAAAATTAGGCTGTGCTGATTTACTAGAAATTATCGCTTAACCAGCAGAAAGAAATGCTTTGAGAAATTGAAGGATTTAAGAACATAAGAAAGAAGGAACACTGCAGCAGGCCTACTGGCCCATGCGAGGCAGATCCAAGTCTCCTACCGGCTTAAGCCAATGCCCCAGCCTAGTAAGGTCAGGTCACATTCACTTAAGGAAGGAACACGGCAACTGACCTAGTAGCACAAGCTAATCAGGTCCAACTCACACCCACTCGTGTATTTATCTAACCTATTTTTAAAACTACACGACGTTTTAGCCTCTATAACTGTACTCGGGAGTTTGTTCCACTCGTCCACAACTCTATTACCAAACCAGTGCTTTCCTATATCCTTCCTGAATCTGAATTTTTCCAACTTAAAGCCATTGCTGCGAGTCCTGTTTAGGCTAGATATTTTCAGCACGTTATTTACATCCCCTTTATTTATTCCCTGCTGTATAGCCCTTGTGGGTTAGTGCTTCTTTTTGATTATAATAATAATAATTTATTTATTCCTGTCTTCCATTTATACACCTCAATCATATCCCCCCTAATTCTATGCCTTTCTAGAGAGTGCAGATTCAGGGCCCTCTGTCTATCCTCATAGGGAAGATTTCTGATACTTGGGATCAACTTTGTCATCCTCCTTTGTATGTTTTCCAGAGCATTTATATCCATTTTGTTGTATTCATTACATTTTGTGTTTATCCCATTCAACAAAATAGTCATAAAGTATGCCAGCCCCCTCTAGAATCATAACTACAAAATAGGTTGTTCCTTTTGCTAAATTTAGGACATCCTCCAACTATCGAGGAAGTGATTAACATGCATTCTCCAGGGTTTTATGGCATAACTTTCCCCATTACTTTTGGATAATGCCCTAAAGCTGTGGAATGGGCTGATGTTCTTCCCCTAGCAAATCTGTATCACAGCCTATAGGTTTTTACTGGGGTTAAAATCTGGGGAATATCCTGGCCTTACGTAATCCGATGATCTTAGCAGTTCTCTTGTCAACAGTTTACTTCTGCCTTTGTCACTAGCCAAAAATGTCTGTCAAACTCGGTAACCCTCAAGGCCACACAGAACAGGGGTATGCATCCTAAGTGTCTAGAAGGCACTTAGGATGCAGCTAGTAGCCTTAGGGCATTCTGAGAGTTCACACCTTGAATTTCAAGGCCAGCTTAACTTTTTGCCTCATCAACAAACCTACCAGAGTAGAGTATTACTTTGGACATTAAAATACTCCAAGTGCACTTTAGGGCACTTAGAGTATTTTAATGTCCAAAGTATTGAGTATTTTAATGAGTTTTTTCTTTTGGTACCCAAATTAACATTTTTCTCCTGAAGCTGAGTCACTTTTCTGTGGTGGTGGAGATTTAAGGGCAGGGCCTACCTAAGAATCCAACAACCATTTTTTTTTTTTGTCCTCGACAGTAAGAGATTCTATTTTTTGTTGAAAACATAATTTAGTAAAATTATTCTTATACTGCATTGTGATTTTATTTGAAATAATGATACTGTATATTAGTCATAATACAGTTTAACAAATGGTTTAGATTGCTGAAAATTAGTATTGAAGGCAGCCAAATAATGCATAGGGCATTTTTTTACATTAACTGTACTTAATAGGCAAATGATCTTGGTGTTTTGTAAATTATACAGCTTGCTAACCCACTGATTTTTTTTAATGGTCTTTCAGAGCCATTTACTTTTGTCTTAATTTTTTTCTGACCTTTATTGTTGCACATTATAATTTCAGGGCTGTATAGCCCTTGTGGTTTAGCGCTTCTTTTTTATTATAATAATAATATGATTTCAGGAAGATGAAGGAATTTTACAAAGAGCATTGCATACCCTTCTTGATGTGAGTGAGACTTCCCAGCCCTCCCAAGACCTAGAGTTAAGGAGCTCACAGTGTGTCACAGTCTCGTTCATAGAAATTTACAATAAGAAGTTATTCGACCTCTTGACTCCAACCAGAGTACCACTGAAGACCAAACTCGGACTTGGTGGAGGTAAAAAAAATAAATTTTCAACCTTACCTTAACATTTTATTTTGAAGATGAAAGTCTGTCACTCACCCTCATGATGCAGTAAGCCTACTGACATCTTTAATACAAGGCCATTCATAAGGTAACATACAAAACTTAATTTTTGAAGTTATTTCATAAGCTTCAAAGCTGCTAGCCTTTTATTATTACTTTCCGACTTCTTCATATTCCTTTAATTTTAAATGGTAAATTTCCAGAACATGAAATTTATTTATAAAATATTACATTATTGAGTACACTTAGTTTGCAGTGCAGCATTTCATTATACCTTTTATTTTTTTTTATTTTTAAGGCCTTCTGGTTTCTTTGGTGTCCTTAAAATACTAGTAAAAGTATCCTATAAAAAATAGCCAGAAATTTGGTTTGGACTTGCAGAGAGGTTGGAACAAAATAGAATAACTTCGAGAGTGTACAGTGGACCCCCGCATACCGATTTTAATCCGTGCAAGAGGGGTCATTGGTATGCGAATGAATTTTCCCCATAAGAAATAATGGAAATCAAATTAATCCGTGCAAGACACCCAAAAGTATGAAAAAAAAATTTTTACCACGTGAAATATACATTTTCCTACACACAAAGAGAAGGATACATGCACAATAGTAGAGTAGTACATGCACAGTATATATTGTGCATGTACTAGTCTACTAAATGAAGAATAAATGACACTTACCTTTATTGAAGATGCAGCAATGACTGATGAGACACTGTGTCCTGGGAGTGCCTTTTCCTCCTGAGTACTGTAGGTCCTGTTTGGTATTTTCTTCCAGAACATGCCTTATCACACTGTGTATGTCACTACGATTCTTAAATCTCTCAAACCAACCTTTGCTGGCTTTAAATTCACCAATATGAGCACTAGTTCCAGGCATTTTTCCCTGTTCCCCTGGGTGTTAGTCGACTGGTGTGGGTTGCATCCTGGGATACAAGATTAAGGACCCCAATGGAAATAAGTTAGACAGTCTTCGATGACACTGACTTTTTTGGGTTATCCTGGGTGGCAAATCCTCTGGGGTTAATTGTTTCTTGGTATATTCTCAATAAGCCACACCAACAACAGTGCTACAGCAGCAGCAGACGATGCTACAGCAGCAGCAGACAATGCTACAGCAGCAGCAGACGATGCTACAGCAGCAGCAGCAGACGATGCTACAGCAGCAGCAGACGATGCTACAGCAGCAGCAGACGATGCTACAGCAGCAGCAGCAGCTGACAGTGCTACAGCAGCAGCAGACGATGCTACAGCAGCAGCAGACGATGCTACAGCAGGAGCAGACGATGCTACAGCAGCAGCAGCAGCTGACAGTGCAGTAGCAGCAGCTGTACCACCAATAGTAGCGATGGTTGATTGGGGTTTATTATACAACCTGGCCAGCTCGGAGACATGCACTCCACTTTCATACTTATCAATGATCTTTTTCTTCATCTCTATAGTAATTCTCACCCTTATTGCTGTAGGGTTGGCACTAGAAGCTTTCTTGGGACCCATGGTCACTTATTTTCCAGATAAAATCACCAAAAACACTGTAATAATACGAAATGTTACGATTGTATGCTTGGATGCTACCGCGGAGGCTGGCTGGTAAACAATGCCACCGGCGGAACATGTGAGGCTGGCTAAGGCGCACATTGGACGCGTCTCGGACGAACAGCGGTGAGCGGGTTTTTAAGCGGTATGCGAGGCAAAATTTTTGTGATTAAAGCAAGCGGTATGCGGATTAATCGTTATGTGATGCCAACGGTATGCGGGGGTCCACTGTATAAATCTGTATTGGAGACAAGGCGGAGTAGAAGTTGGCCTAGGAAAGGTTGGAGGGAGGGGGGTAAAGGAGGTTTTGTGTGCGAGGGGCTTGGATTTCCAGCAAATGTGTAAGCGTGTTAGGAGCGAATGGAGACAAATGCTTTTAAGGACTTGATGTGCTGTTGGAGTGTAAGCAGGGTAATATTTATGAAGGGATTTAGGGAAACCGGCAGGGCGGACTTGAGTCCTGGAGATGGGAGATACAGTGCCTGCACTCTGAAGGAGGGATGTTAATATTGCAGTTTTATAACTAGTGTAAGCACATCTCTGGCAAGGAATTGATGGAGTGAATAATGGCGAAAGTCTTTCTTTTTCGGGCCACCCTACCTTGGTGGGAAACGGCCGATGTGTTAATAAAAAAAAAATAATATTTCAGTGGGTTCCATATGGCTGTGTGGGTGGAGGTCCACTTCATATAAAGCTTTACACTAACCTTCACATGTATCTCTGATTTGTTGATTTTTGCTGTTGTCTATGTGGACTTTAAAGGCTTCACAAATACAACCATGGAGTGATAGCCATAAAATGAGATCTGTAGGTATAGCATTGAGAGAAGATAGAGCAAAATAGGATGATTTGAAGGGATTCAGGGAAACTGGTTAACCAGATTTGAGTCCTGGAGGTGGGAAATACAGTGCCTGCACTATGAAGAAGAGGTGGGGATATTGCAGTTTAGAGGAGCATCTGAACTAGTATCAGCACACCTCTGGCAAGACAGTGATAGGGTGAATGATGATGAAAGTGTTTCGTAGTCAATCTTGTTTGTGCTGGTGGTGCTTTACGGATATGATGGACACGGATGAAGAGTGTGGAGCCTTGAATTTTCCAGTGCTAATTTGTTTTGATACCAAAGCAGTTAGAAGAGAGGAAATGTAGGCTTTGACTTTAATATTTTTGAGTAATAAAGTGGATAATAAATTGGTTTCCAAATTGTAATAACCATTACTATATGGTATGATTTTGTTCCCTGGGAATTTTCTAATGTTACAGTTTAATTATTAACACTTGCAGCTGTGTCACCAGTTGCAATGGTGGAGAAGAATGTGAAAAGCATTGAGGAAGGTTTGGTACTTTTGGAAAAGGGAAATAGTTTACGAAGTGTTGGAGCCACAGCAATGAATCAGCATTCTTCACGCTCCCATGCACTTATATACCTCACATTAAAAGTAGGTATTTGTCATAAATTAAAACTATGGAGAAGTTATATCAGTAAAAACTCTTAATGTTCTAGGTAACAGTATCCTGAGGTCCCATTGCTTTTAGTGTATTCAGCTTCCTTGGAAGTCTCATTTTAGTACAGTTCCATAAGTTCTTGGCCAGAATCTTGATCCTTGACCAAATCTCCCTGCCTGGCTAACTGGGCACATAATTTTAGTTTTCAAATTCACTCCCAAAGACAGTCATGGGGCTGTATGTTATCCACAAATTTGAACCCCCTCTTGATGAAGTAGTCTCGTTATTATACCACAGCTGTACGTTGGAGCTATATTTCACTTTTAATAGCAGCTTAATGAAATTGCATAAATACTCCTTGCTTTATGATGGTTCAGCTTAAGATATTTCAAGTTTACGATGGTGTGAAACTTTTTTTTTTTTTTTTTCTGTACAGTATTGTACAGTTATTGATAGGATAAACTTGCATTCATTTATATACTCTTCATTACTGGTAGTTACAGTAATTATTTGTTTATTTACTTATTCAGTGACAGTTATTTATTTATTAGTCATATATTCATTCAGTGGAACCTCTGGTCACAACCGTATTTCGTTACAAAACTGGTCGTGACCCGAACCTAATTTTCCCATTGGATTGTATGTAAATACGATTAATCCGTTCCAGACCCCTACGAACTGTATGTAAATATTGTTTTTTAAGATTTTTAAGTACGAAAATAGTTAATTATTTCATAAAATGTACAGTGTAATAGTAAACTAAATATAAAAACTGAATAACACTAAGAAAATCTTGAACAACAGAGAAAACTAATATTGCGTGAGTATTCGCTGTAAACAGTTTTTTTTTTTAAGAGTTTAAAGCAAAGGAAAAATAATCAAAGTTTGAAATTTTTTTTTTTTTTTTTTTTTTTTTTTTTTTTTTCAACAAGTTGGCCGTCTCCCACTGAGGCAGGGTGACCCAAAAAGAAAGAAAATTCCCATCATCATTCAACACTTTCACCTCACTCACACATAATCACTGTTTTTGCAGAGGTGCTCAGAACACAACAGTTTAGAAGCATATACGTATAAAGATACACAACATATCACTCCAAATTGCCAATATCCCAAACCCCTCCTTCAAAGTGCAGGCATTGTACTTCCCATTTCCAGGACTCAAGTCCGGCTATATAAAAAATTCTTAATTATACAAAATAATGCACAGTTTAACCCTTTGACTGTTTCGGTCGTATATACACCTACCATCTGACTTACGACCGAGTTCGGTTCCGAGAAACCGGTCGTAAGTCGAACTTTACTACTGAATATCAACAAAACATTTTTGTAATGACTTTATTTTATTGTTTTATTTTGGTATTTCATGTTTTACTTTACTTTTTATGTTGTTAGTACTGTATTTTGTACTGTAAGGTTTAGGATAAACACTGTGTACAACACAAATAACAAAAAAAGGCACAATACCATGACTGGAACGATACACAAATAACCCGCACATAAAAGAGAGAAGCTTACGACGACGTTTCGGTCCGACTTGGACCATTTACAAAGTCACACTAACCAGAAGTGGAGCAGGACGGCTATATATAGGCAGGAAGAGGTGGTGGTGGTGGTAGTAGTAGTAGTAGTACAAGAATGGTATATAATACCGACAAGATGAAATTAAGACACATGCACAACACCCGGGCATCCTCAGCACCTCACACACACACACATACACATACACAACACACACACACACACACACCCACACACACACATCACATCACACACACACACACACACAACCACACACATACATACATACATAATCTCCCTAACAATTCCTATAGAAGCCTCCCAACCAGGGTACAACCCCAGTGCAACCAAACACTCTATAAAACTCCAAAACACCCATGCCACATCCAGTGCCCCCACCCATGCATTACAAACTCCACCCCCACAGCAACCACCCATAGTTCCTTAGCGGTCTCCCACTTCCCCAACCCCAATACACTCCCAGGACACCAATCTTAGAAAAGAAGATTGGGTGTGGTATACAAAGCAGATGAATAACAAATAAGTATGAGGCGTGGCACGAAAGAATCAGGAGGACATCCCCAGACTTAATAGCACTCACAGAAACAAAACTCTCCAGAATAATAACAGAATTCAATCTTTCCATCCGGATATCAAATCTCAGGAAAGGGACAGAGGGGAGGAGAGGGGAGAGGAGTTGACTGCTCATTAAAAAACCAGTGTGGGATTTGAGGAAAATGGAAGGAATGGATGGCTGGGCGAAAGAGGACTACGTAGTAGGAACAATCCAGTCTGAGGGCATGAGGTGATAAATTGCAGTAATGTACAAAACCCGCCACAGAATCCTGCAGGAGAGCCTCAAGAGAAGAATTAGATGAGAGCAAACAAAGCAATGGTTGGACACACTAGCCGAGGTGGCCAGGGAGAGAACAAATGGGGGGAAGCAATGTTAACTAGTTATGAGGTGATTTCAATCACAAGGAGATTGACTGGGTAAAACCTGAGAGCCCCATGGGGGTCTGAAACATGGTGAGCAAGGATGATGGTTGTGGTACTGGGAAAAACCTCATGCACAACATCGTTAGAGACACTAACTGAGGGAGAAGAGGAGAGGAAATGAAAAAGCAAGAACTGGACCTTGTATTACCTTGAGTAGTTCTGACATCGCGGATATCATGTATGAAAGGCCCCGGGAGCTAGATGATCATGTGGTTCAGTGCTTCGACTACATAGTTGGCTCCAAAGTTGAGAGAGCAGAGGAATAGGGTGGGAAAAACCAAAACTACAAACAGGGGGAACTACTCGGCTTGAGGACTTCTTTCAAGATCATTCAGTGGGAGAGGGGAACTGACAGGTAACCCAGTACAGAAATGATGGGACTATGTGGTACAACAAAATGCAAGGAGGCAGAGGAGAGTCTTGTTCCCAAGGGAAACAGAAAATAATGGAAGAAACAGAACGAGTTTCCCCTTTCTCCCTGGATTCACCCAAAGGTAGTAGGGAGCAAAAACTAGGTGTACTAGAATTGTGGAAAAGGTACAGAAGACTGAGAACTCAGGAAATAAAAGATTAGCCGAAGAGCCAGAAAACGAATATGCACAGTTAAGAAGGGAGGACTCACGGCTCAATACGAAAATGACATAGCATCGAAAATCAAAGACTGACCCGAAGCTGATTGTACAGCACATCAGGAGGAAAACTTCAGTACAACGGGCCAGGTAATCAGACTGAAGGAAGGGTGATGGGGAAATTCACAAGAAACGACCGGGAGGTATGTTCGGAGCTCAACACATAGATTTAAGAAGTATATTACGTGGAAAACCAGTAGGGACATCAGGAAAATTCAGAGTAGGGGGGTGCACCTGCAAGTGCTGGATGAGGTACATAATAACCAAGGAGGAGGTGAAGAAGCTGTCTATGGAACTTGACCACCTCAAAGGCGGTGGGACAGGACAACATCTCTCCGTGGGTCCTTAAAGAAGGAGCAGTAGATACTGTGTGGTTACCGTTAAACAAGATCTTTCAACACATCATTTGAAACTGGGCAAGACTCCCCGAGGTATGGAGAAGATGGCAAATGTAGTCCCAATTTTTAAAATGGGGACAGACATGAGGCACATACAACTACAGACCGGTATCATAAACATGTATAGTATGCAAGGTCATGGGAGAAGATCAATCAGGAGAGAGTGGTGGAGCACCTGGAAAGAAACAAGAGTATAATTGACAAACCAGCATGGTTTCATAGGGAGGGAAAAATCCTGTGTTCACAAACTACTAGAGTTTTATGACAAGGTGACAGAAAGGTAAGACAAGAGAGAGAGAGGGTGGATCGACTGCATATTTTTTCCCCCCGGACTGCAAAGAAGGCACTTCGACACCAGTTCACTCAGAAGAGGTTACTGCAAAAGCTAGCGGATCAGGCACAACATAACAGAAAAAGGCACTGCAATGGATCAGAGAATACCTGACAGGGAGGCATCAAGGGTCATGGTACGTGACGAGGTGTCAGAGTGGGCGCCTGTGACAAGCAGGGGTTCCACAGGGGTCAGTCTAGGGACCTGTGCTGTTCTTGAGGTATATGTGAAATTATAATAACGGGAAGGGATTAGACTCAGAAGCTGTCCTTGTTTGCGGACGATGTGAAGTTTATGAGAAGAATCAAATCGGCTGAGGAGCAGGCAGGACTACAAAGAAACCTGGACAGGCTACAAGCCAGGTCCCAGCAACTGGGCTCCTTGAGTTTAACCCTGCCAATGCAATGTCAGAGATTGGGGAAGGGCAAAGAAGAGCGCAGGACACAATATAGTGTAGATGGGCAAAGGAAAAGATCTGGGGGTGAGTATTAACACCGAGCAATATCTCCTCGAGGGCGCACATTCCAATCAAGATAACTGCTGCAGGCATACGGGCACTGTGCAAACTACGGGATAGCAGTTCCGATACCATCAGTAAGGATTTGTTCAAGACTGTATACCATTTACGTCTAGGCCCATACTGGAGTATGCAGCACCAGTATTGGAATCCACACTAGTCAAGCACGTCAAGAAAATTAGAGAAAAGAATTGCAAAGGTTTTCAACAAGGACTAGTCCCAGAGCTACGGGGATGTCTACGAACGAAAGGTCGAGGGAAATCGGCCGTGACGAACTGGAGTCTCAGGAGGGTCAGGGGAGACATGAAACGACATATTAAAATACTGCGCGAAATAGATCGGGTGGACTCAAAGGACGGGATGTTCCAGGCTCCGATAGGACACAAAGGTCACAATTGGAAGTTGAAGGACTGCAGATGAATCAATGGGATGTTAGGAAGTATTTCTTCAGTCATAGAGTAGTCAAGCCGTGGAATAGCCTAGAAAGTGAAGTTGTGGGAGGCGGGAAACCATACATAGTTTAAGGCGAGGTATGATAAAGTCATGGAGCAGGGAGAGAGAGGGACCTATTAGCAATCAGTGATGAAGATGGAGGCCAGGAAGCTATGGAATCGACCCCTGCAACACAAATAGGTGAGTACACTCACCACACACACACACACACCACACAGGAATACTTGTCAGGAAGACAGCAGCGAGTCATGGTAGTGGCTCGAGGTGTCAGAGTGGGACACCTGTGACCAGCGGAGGGTCCCGCAGGGGTCTGTCCTAATGGACCAGTGCTGTTCTGGTATTTGTGGAACGACATGACGGAAGGACATAGACTCTGAGGTGTCCCTGATTTGCAGATGACGTGAGTTGATGAGAAGAATACACTCGATGGAAGGACCAGGCAGAATCAAAGGGATCTGGACAGGCGCTGCTGAACTGCGTCCTCAGCAATTGGCTCTGGAAGTTCAATCCCACCAAGTGCAAAGTCATGAAAGATTGGGGAAGGGCAAAGAGGCGCAATACGGAGTACCAGTCTAGGGGCGTCAGAGGACTACAAAACACTCACTCAAGGAAAAAGAACTTGGGGTGAGTATAACACCAGCACATTCTGAAGCGCACATCACCAAATAATGCTGCAGATATGGGCGTAGCAAACCTCAGAAACAGCATTCGAACATCTTAATAAGGAATCGTTCAGGACCCTTTACAGTATACGTTTGGCCCTAATTGGAGTAGGCGGCCAACAGTTTTAGGAACCCACACCTAGCAAGCCACGAAAAGAAACCTAGGAAGTGCAAAGGTTTGCAACAAGACTAGTCCCAGAGCTAAGAGGTATGTCCTACGAGGAAGAGTGTTAAGGGAAATCAAGTCCTGACGACAATGAGGCAGGAGAGATAGGGGGGACAGATAAAACGACATACAAAATACTAGAGAGGAATTGACAAGTTGGACAAAAAGAACAGGATGTTCAGAGAATAGGACACAGTAACAAGGGGACACAGTTGGAAGCTAAAGACACAGATGAATCAAGGGATGTTAGGAATTATTTCTTCAGCACAGAGACTAGTCTGTAAGTGAATAGTTTTGGAAGCGATAGTTAGTGGAGGAAGGTTCACATACATAGCTTTTAAGCAGAGAGGTACGATAAAGCTCACGGCTCAGAGGAGAGATGACCTAGTAGCGATCAGTGAAGAGGGCGGGGCAGGAAGTCGGATCGACCCCCGCAACCTCTAACTAGGTGGAGTACAACTAGGTGAGTACATCACCACAACACACACACTACACACACTACACACACACACCACACACACCACACACACCACACACAAACACACACACCACATCACACACACTCACACAATCACACACACACAACCACACACCACACACCACACATCACACACACACACACACACACACACACACACACAACATACCAACCATGGACATATATATAATATACATATTATTTATTATATATAACTATATATATATATATTAGATAGATTATATAATATAAATATAATATATATATATATATATATATATATGTGTGTGTGTGTGTTGTGATGTGTGTGGAGTCAAAAAACGTATCTATGGAGGGCAAAGAGGGCATCCCTGTATGACAAGTATAAGTAGTACCAACCTCACTCTTATTTGGATGTGAAGCTTAAGGGTGGGTAATGCAGCCAGCGAGGAGACGGTTGAGAGGCAGTGGGAGTATGTCCAGTCTAAGGGCAAAATGTGTGGTGTAAATATTTATGCCAGAAAATTCGGAGTGTGGAAATTAGGAGAAAGGTGTGGCAGTATAATAAAAAGCATTTGTCAGGAGAGGGCAGAAGAGGGGGTTGTTGAGGTGGTTTGGTCATTTAGAGAGGAATGGATCAAAGTAGAAAGGACCGACTTGGAAAGCATATAAATCTATAGGGGAAGGATGAGGGGTAGGGTATGTCTTCGAAGGGTTGGAATGAGGGGGTAAAGGAGGTTTTGTGGCGAGGGGCTTGGGTCATTCCGCAAGCGTTCATGGGAACGTGTTAGTTAGGCGTGGATTGGTGACGAATGATACTTGAGGGACTGAAGATCTGTTGGAGTGTGAGCAGGGTAATATTTAGTGGAGGGGGATTCAGGGAAAACCGGTTATTTTCATATAGTCGGACTTGAGTCCTGGAAATGGGAAGTACAATGGCCTGCACTTTAAGGAGGGGTTTGGGATATTGGCAGTTTGGAGGGATGGTTGTGTATCTTTATACATATATGCTTCTAAATGTTGTATTTAGCTGAGCACCTCTGCAAAGCAGGGTAATGTGTGAGTGTGGTGTAGAAAGTGTGAATGATTGATGAAAGTATTTCTTTTTGGGGATTTTCTTTCTTTTTTGGGTCACCCTGCCTCGGGATGGGAGACGGAAAACAACCAGACTTGTTGAAAAAAAAAAAAAATATACATTTTTGAGCTCAATAGCCATAACAATGAGGCAGAAATATATGTATCTAAAAAATTTCCAGGCTAAACAAATTATATAGTATAAATTTATATATACTGTTATGTAGAAATGTCTGTACTGATTTCTTCTATGTAGATTCAGAATTTTATGAGAATCTTTAAAAATTAAGAGGAAGTCAAGGAAAAATTGAGTGTTACGTTTAAGTTTAAACTAATTTATCTGGGAGAAGCTTTATGCAAAACATTAGTGTGCATATGGAGGTTGGCGGGATGGAGATTGTGGCTTTATACTTGATTGGTAGTAAAAATTGTGCATATGAGTGAGTGAAAGAATAAAATTTTTAAACTAGGTACTGACGTAGTCTATGAAAGAAAGTAGGTACTATACAGGAAATGGGATTGTTGGAAAGATTGGATCCTTGCCCAGTCAGTTATTTTGCTGTTAGTAGCTGATTTGTGTTTGATCAGGAGAAATAGAAGGATTTATTTATCGAATATGATAAGTTCCACAAGTTCAATGGTAGAGGGAATTCATAAATGAGTTGAAAATTTTGTACCTTGCTAGGAAAAGTTAATTTCAGTTGCAGATTCATGTTGATGATGAGTAGATAGTAGTACATACAGGGAAAGTGAATGAAATTTAGAAATGAATTTGTTCCTAACTAACACAGGATGACTTACAGAAGCAAGCACATTAACCAGTGAATTAGAAATTTATGGAATGATACTTAAATCTCATGCTTGAGACTCACGGGTGCTACTTGGTAAAAGTCTCAGGGCTGGACGTCTAAGTGTGTTTGAGAGCCAGAGTGAGGGGATTTCTTTACTTGGTACTGGTGATAAATAGGATTCAAAAGCTTTGAATAGAAAGTAATTCAGAAAAAGATGTGAAAAGATTCGACAAGCCCCAGTGCATCAGCAGCAAACTAGTACAGATGGTTCATGGGAGGGAAAAATGTCACTGGAGCTATAAAAAATTGTAGTAGCAAACATTCATATAGAAAATATATCAAAAAGCTGTACCATTTATTACTCCTTGTGATAGAAAAATAGACAAATGCAGTAATAATTGCGTTCTTTTTTATTGACTCAATGTTTGCCCACCACATGTGGGCTTGATTATGTCACAAGCAGATCTACCTGGGTAAAGAGTATATGAGTATATATAAGGTGGGGAGGACTCTCACCCTATGTAGACTGTGTTTGTGTCTGTTTTTCCATTATGTGTCATATTATAACCATTATCTCCATTCTTTGTGAGTTGTAAAATTTTCAGTTGAGTCAGTATAATGTTACACAAATGTGCCTAAAGTGTTTCATTCTTAATTCTCACTTGCTAGCCGTGTCTGAGCCCATGACTAACCATTGGGAGAAGTACGTCAGTATTTACCAGGAAAAATTTTGAAGATCGTTTAGTCGGCCAAATTAATCTTCAAAACTTTCTCGCAAAAAATATATCAAGGTGGGTTCTTCTAAAAATATAATATGTTACTGGTATTTAAGCTTTAGTAAATATAGTATTAGTTGCCTGATAATTCTTTACTCTTCACTCTTGGTTTGTAATTAAATATCATGTGTTGGTGGGCATTATTATTGATATTTTGATTGGACCAAAACTTCATGTATATTCCAAATATGTCCTCTTTTTTTTTGTTAACACATTGGCTGGTCTCCCTCACTGAGGAGGGTGCTACACTAACAAAATGAAGAAGAACGTTTTCACCATCATTCACCACATAATCAGGAGTCTTTGCAGAAGAGTGCATATACAACAGTTATGGATGTAACTTCAAACAGAAAATATCCAAACCCCTCCTTTAACCCTTTCAGGGTCTGTCCCGTAGATCTACGGCTTTACGTTTACAGGGTCCAAACCATTAGATCTGCGTCATGAGCTCAGCTCAACTCTGATAAAAACTGTGAAGTGCGTACTCATTTGGGCCCCTAGATATGAGAGAATGCATACTATGTGGTATGTGTGCACCAACATAAAAACAAGATACTGCAGCACACTGTGTATAATGAGAGAAAAAAAAAACTGAAATCATGATTTTTCGATTAATACAGCGACTTTGCAGTGTTTTTTCGTATTGTTTTTATAGTGATATTTGGATTTCTTGGGTCCATTTGATAGAATGGATAAGACAATATATACATAAATAGAGATGATTTTTGATTGGTTTTTAGCACTGGAATATGGCTTAGAAACTGAGCCTCAAATTAGCAGGAAATGTTAAATTGTTTTGTGATATTCAAGAGTAAAACAAACGACACTCACGTCTAATACACGCAGTGGTGGGTCTAAATATGCATTCCAAATATGGTGATGATATTTATACAATTATTACAGTATTGATAACTGTAAATCTTATATTTTTTGGTGTGAATAAAAAATTCCACTTGTGAATAAAAAATCAAAATGGAACTTTTTATTTGTAAAGCCTCAAAAACGGGTAATTAATGAACAGAGGAAATGTTTAGTTTAGATTCAGGAATACCTACATTGTTTGTCTAGGACCCTATTCTTGAAATTGGAAATATTTTGAACTTTGTGTTAAATGGCCAATTAACAATTTCCGTCACTTAATTTGTAGTTGAAACAGTTGACTTGGCGATTTCTTGAACTCAATCGTAGAATAGAAGTAATACTAGTTTGAATAGTAAGACTTTTGGTTGGACGGGAATAATGTAATTGGCCTAAAAATGGGGAGTTCAAAGTCGGGCAAAAAATCGCCGATTCGTAAATTCGCTGACACATCAAAATTCGCGAGAGCATAATTTCGTTGAATTTTCCATCTACAAATTTCGTACTTTTTATTTTTATTACCTTCACTCAAAAAGATTCTCTACCATTTCATAAGAAAAATAAAATTTTTTTTTTTTTTTTTTAAATTCCTTGGACACTGGGACCCACTTCAGATTTTGGCGCTCCTGGACCTGAAGGGGTTTAAGTGTAGGCATTGTAAATTCCCACTTTCAGGGACTCAAACCCATACCCCCAGCCGGGATTGAACCGCGGTCATAGAGTCTTCAAAAAATCAGCCCTGTCGCGTTAGCCACTAGGACCAGTAGCCACTCAATAGATTCATCCAAACTAGGTATATTTACACCATAGGAAGTTAACACAGGCACCACTTGTGACCACAAATGAAGTTTTTACACGAATCTCCTCAGCTAGCGTGGCCGTGACGAACTCTAGCTCAAGTTCCCTTCACTGCCGTCAACATGACTCAAGAAATCGTAATGACACGATTTGCAATCGTGTCATTACGAATTCTTCGAGTTCAGGACCTCAAAATCTGGCTAACTGGTTTCCTAAATCCCTTCACACAAAATCATTATCCTGCTCACACTCTAAATGGTCTTCAAGTCCCAAAAACTATATCATCTCTCCATTCCTATCTAACATCCTACACTGTCATGTAGAGGGGGGTATTGAAAAACGTAAGCATATCTGTGGGATAACGGAGTAAACTGGAGTAAAGGCAGGAGAGTCTGAGTCGAGTGGCAGGAGTGATGATTAGTGGAGGTCGGTAGGTAATGTGAATGGGGGGGGTCACTGGTGGACTAACACCTTCACCTCTCATTACTCTACCCACCACACCTACTCACCCTACTAACTACTTGAAATAAAACAATTAATGAATAAAAAGAGAATTAATTGGGGGGACAGTGATATATTACTATTCTACTCAAAATACGTTTAATTATTAAGTCCTTGTACAATAAAATAATATTTGGGAACAGAGAGAAGCATTATTGTGGTTTTGATCAATGGGGTGGGTACCATAATAAGCAGTGGAGACAGGGAATACAATCAACTTGACAAAAATGAATATAACTTGCAGTATAGTTCAGGGAGGACAGTTCACCACAGGAATAAGCTACAGGTCTCAAGACCCTAGCACAGCACGCAGTACTGCTCCAAGCCATTACTCTTCCAGTGGTTTTCAACAAGTCTCCACTCCAGAGACTTCAGAAGCCTTCTCCGGAGCCTGCACCTCCGCAGCAGCCACTCACATTCGAATTGTCCTGCTCAGAGCCTCCTGCCCACAGCAAGCAGCTCCGCTCGAAGTCTTTCTTGATCATGCTGTTCCTCGGTCTTATAATGGATGGTTCCAAAGGCACCCTCCACAATGGGTGTGCACCACATGTTACGACCTGATAGCCGAGATGATGCCAGTGACGAACATAAGGGAGATGAGGAACTAAGCCGAAAAGGCATGGCATACTGACAGCTATTTGCCAAGGCAAGGTGACCATATTAATTGGGTTAACTTAGGTTCTCCCCAGAGACCTCACTAGCCCGCTGAAACTACATCAACATCCCCCTTTCTTCCCAGCTTCAAAATATATCTGAGAACTAGGACATTTTGTGTTAAGTTATTAGACTTTTTTAATTCCTAACCACTTAATTCTATTACAAATAGACAAAGACAATATTATACATAGCATGGATACAAAAATTCTTCAACTACATATATTTCCCTCAAACCTTCATCAACTTCAACAAGGCATAGTTACAATCAGTACACCTGGCAGATGACCAGATAAACAGTTGGGGGGGGCTAATCTGGTGCAAAAAGCCTCCTTACCCGTCATTTTCTCCTTAAAATACATTATATCGGAGCTCCACAGTGCCTTCCCTACTTCTACTAGAAATGCATAGCCAGTACTGTCCCCTCGCCATCATAACCATATGGGCCAAAACCGCTCTGGCTTCACACTTCCACACACTTTCAAACATCTGAAAATCGAATTACAGGGGCAGGCATATAACATTGGAGGGAGGGAGTATGGAGAAATTGGAATGTTTTCAGATATTGGGAGTTGACTTGTCAGCGGATGGAGTTTATGAAGGCATGACGTAAACTATAGAAATGATGAAGGAAAAATCGTGGAGTGGTGCGTTGAGGTATTGAGGAGACAAAGGTGTTATCCATAGAGGCATAGAAGGGAATGTATAGAAAAGTATAGTGGTCCCAACAACTTGTTATGAGTGTGAAGCTTGGGTTGTAAATGCAGGCAGCGAGGAGAGCGGTTTGAAGGCAGTGGGATGTCTGTCTAAGGGCACTCAAATAGTGTTGGTGTAAAATTTATGCAGAGAATTCAGGTGTGGAAATTAGGAGGAGGTGCGGAGTTACTAAAATTTTTAGTCAGAGGGTCTGAAGGAGGGGTTGTTGAGGGTGGTTTGGTTATTTAGAGAGATGGATTCAAAGTAGTAATGACTTGGAGAGCATATATATCTGTAGGGGAAGGAAGGCGAGGTTGGGGTCATCTTCAAAATGATTGAAGGGAGGGGTAAAGGAGGGTTTTGTGGGCGAGGGGCATGGATTCCAGCAATATGTGTGAAAACGTTTAGATAGGAGTGAAATGGGAGACGAATGGTTTTTGGGACCAGATGAAGTGTTGGAGTGTGAGCTCAGGGTATTATTTTGTGAAGGGATTCAGGGAACTGGTTAGTCGGACTTGAGTCCCGGCCAATGGGAAATACTCAGTGGACCCCCGGTTAACAATTTTTTTCATCCTCTAAGTATGTTCAGGTGCCAGTACTGACCGAATTTTGTTCCCCATAAGAAATATTGTGAAGTGATTAGTCTATTTCAGACCCCGAAACAACACGCTACCAAATGCACTTAATAATACTCTTACATAATTGGTAACATTTGGTAGGTAATCGTTATGCGGGAGTCCCTTAGTACAATGCCTGCACTTTAAAGGAGGGTGTTTGGGATATTGGCAGTTTGGAGGGACTTCTAAATCTTGTCATATTCAGAGCTTCTCTGCCAAAGGACTGTTGATTATGTAGGAGTGAGTGAAAGTGTTGAATGATGATGAAAGTATTTTCTTTTTGTGGATGTTCTTTTCTCTTTTTTTTTGAGGTACCCTGCCTCTCGGGGGAGATGACCGGCGTGATTGAAAAAAAAAATTGTCGGTAATTCTACCAACATTAATAACAGTTATAGTTCTTCTGTTCTTATGTCCAAGAATCTGTATTATTAAAAGCCACTGGAGGGCGAAAAGTCTTACAATAAAAGAAAACCAGATGTTGCACAAGTCGTCTTAACTTTCAGAGCAGTTTTTATATTATATTTATATATTCATTTTGGTGTTTATTAATTTTCTAGCAAAAGTAAAAAGATCAACAAAATACAAAGAAAATCCCAATCTTCAACACTACAGATGCTAGAGGATGGAAAATCAGTGATATCTCAGATGATAAATATTCTGTTAACATCCATTGCTTCACTGCTTTCTTAAATAATCCGAGCTCCAAAGTCATTTATCAATTGTATTAAGAAAGATAATAAAGGGGATCTAACAGAGAGTAAGTACACATAACCTTTATTTTTATTCTTGTTGATGAGGGTGTTTTTACTATCAAATGTTCAAGGTTGATGGACCTGGATTAGTCACGATAGTTAAAAGTTCCATTTATCTGAATTTGTTACTGACAATTATTTTTAATTCTGAATTGAATTTTAGGCGGGTTCGTCTCAGTCATAAGGACTTGAGGGTAGGACCCATTTATAAGCAAAAGCCAAATTGCACACAGTTGCATTGTGCAACCTGTAATTTTTTTTACATATTAGGACCCTTTTATTTAACAATTAATTCTCTGCAGCTGCATAGAAGTGATTTGCAACAAAACAAGGAAATGTAAATAATGGCCTATTCAATTTTCCTACTAGTAAAATATTTCAGTAAGAGCACCAAGGTACTTGTGCTCATAACAGTGATAAACTGTTGAAATTGTATTGTGATCTCTGTATTTATATTTCAACCAAAATTACTTTTACTTTATTTATTGGTTTGCTTGGATGAGGGTTAAAAGTTTTCAAGTTTTTACAGCAGTTTTTGTTTAGTTAATAGGAGCAGTAATAACATAGGGGACAAGAGATTCCCAAAACAAATTAAAAAAATATGATGCAGTGTGATGCACCCCTAATCTTTTGTATATTATAGGTTTTCTTGTTCAAATATTCTATCAAGGACAATGAAATCTTGTTTGTGAAGCCGGTGAAGTTATCGGTTTACTTCCTATTCGGAAGTTCCAAATTAAAACATGAATTTCATTTTGAGTTTTTGACCAAGCAAATAAGGTGTGTTTGTTTAGAAAACCCAAAGTACAAAAATGTATAAACATTCTTTAAAAATTTCGATTACTTCTTATATGTGGGTTTCATGTGTTTTACTAAATTGTCACTCCTTACCAGAGAAGTACATGTACAGTGCTTGGCCTGTAAAATTCATGACCTGTGACTAAAACCTTTCACGATAAAGAAAAATAATCAAAAACGGGACAACTCTTGGGAAACAAAACAATGCACAAGAAGCAAAAGACCAGCTATTAAAGGAGATATTGTTTATCGCGGATTGCCAATAAACATTCTATATGATACTAAATCAAACATAGTCATGGACAGAGTTAATGGAAGAGCTGTATAGTCTTCTGTAACAAGCACAGCATTAAGGGATATAGACATGCAAGCAAAGTCTACAAGATTATCAACCCAAACAGAGTATCAACAGTGCAATGCTGGAGTAAAGTGTTCACTCAAATGTCAGATTTAGTAGAAGCTATTCTCTATTCTTTGACATTTGAAAGAAAATGGAACAAATTCTTTAAATTGTGAAGAGTATTAGCAGCATGCTAAAATTTTCCCAATTAAACGACTCTTCAACCTGTCCTAAGGTTTCATAAATGAGAATAGGAGCCACATTCAAGGAATGATGGTAATAAATCAAAAGAAAATGTTGAATTTGAGAACTTCAAGAATACACTTGGTATCAAAATAGAAAAGAGTTTAGGACAAGTAAAAGAAGCCAAATGCGGAAGGGTCTTCAAGAGATCAGCAAAATTAAGCAACTCATGCTAAACTTTGAGATCCTGGAATGGAGAAACAGTCCTGTCACAAAAACAATGAACAGAATCGAGGTCATCACTTGCGAACTACAAAGAAAATACAAAGGTAAGTTAAAAGGGTTTATTTTTTGATTCATGGATAAAAGATGACAGTATAGTATTTTAATATATAAATTTAATTGACTATTGTACTAGACTTTTTTACATTTTAATCATAAAAATGCTTAAACCTCATTGCTTTCAGGAAAATAAGAGTGATTCTTGCTGACAAGACAAATGGAAAATTGGGTGCTAACGGTGAGCCACGGGTACAACAAAAAACAACAGTGAGGTTCTTGACATCCTCAACACTGGCACTTTGATGAGACTGCAACAGGCTGCTACTGTTGGTCCAAAATGTCTATGGTGGATACACAATTTCAGGTTAGTGGTTGATTGTGACATTTACTTGTTAATCATTGATCAGAAAGTGATGCTGAAGGGATTGGTATTAAAAGATCATGGAAAATATGGCAAAGTATGCATAATACAACCAGTATATGGACAAACTAATTACTGAAAGATCTGAAACTCATCTGGAAAAACACAAAAATGCATGCACTAGGTCCACTGAGTCCCATGTGGAATGACCTCAAGCTCCCAGGATCAAAAACAATTTTCACATAAAATGTCCTAGTATTTTTCATTTTTGTCTTTTCCTAATACTTATAGGGAGGAGAGTTATTAAATGGAGAGTTAGAGGTATTGGGAAGATGGAGGTGGAACGTTTTGAGGAATTGTTAACCCTTTGGACTGTCGCGGGCCGTAATTATGTACATCTCTCGAGGTACCGTGTTTGACGTAGATTTAGATTTCTTATTATCAACACTGGCCGTACCCACAAAGCAGGGAGCCAGAAAAAGAAAAACTTTCACCATCATTCACTCCATCACTGTCTTGCCAGAGGGTGCTTTTACAACTACAGTTGTTTTAAACTGCCAACCATTAACATCCCTCCTTCAGAGTGCAGGTGCACTGTACTTCCCATCTCCAGGACTCAAGGTCCGACCGCCGGTTTCCCTGAAACCCCTTCATAAATAGTTACTATTGCTCACACTTCCAACAGCACGTCAAGTATATAAAAAACCATTTGTCTCCATTACTCCTATCAAACACGCTCACGCATGCCTGCGGAAGTCCAAAGCCCGTCGCACACAAAACCTCCTTTACCCCCTCCCTCCAACCTTTCCTAGGCCGACCCCCTACCCCGCCTTCCATTTCCACTACAGACTGACTACACTATTGAGTTATTCTGTTCGCTCCGTTCTCTTCACATGTCCGCAACCACCTCAACAACACCTTCCTC